GATGCCAGTGCCCATCCCTGCTCCCCTGGGAGGTGTCCGGGGACCTCCGTCCCGCCCAGGCCGGCCACCTCCTCTCCACGTGGCCAGCCAGGCCCGGGAGCAAACCAGCCACAGGCCTGCAGCACCGACTCCCACTGCTGCTAATAAAATTGCATAAATATTTGATGCCTAATTATTAAATATTTAAAAATGTAAAACTGAAATAGTTTAGGAGGTACGAGGCATGAATAATTCAGCCCTGGGAGTGTAGACGCGTGGCCCAGCTCTGGGCCCAAGCAGAGCCAGCAGCCCGCGTGGCCCGGGAGCCCAGGCAGGCACCACCAGGCTTCCTGCTTCCCGCGGGGGTGCCCCTGGGCCAGGCCTCCCCACAGAGCCACCCAGTCCTGCGAGCAGCGGCTGCAGAGACCACCTCAGGGCGCGCAGATGTTCCCCAGGCGCCATCAGGGGTGGGGACACTGGTCACCCCTCCAGACCCGGCACCTCACGTTGAGAGCGGCTCCCGTGTGTCCCCATCAAGGCTGGCGTTCCTGCCGGGTGACAGCCACCCCCATGGTGGTCCTTCCGCCACCTCTGCAGGCACTGCAGCCCCACTCGGGACCTGGACCCCGCCTGCTGCTCCTTCGGCCGTTCCTCACAGACGCGCCTTATCCCTCCCTGTCCCTGTCCCTCACCAGGACGTGCAGGGGCCAAGTCGAGGGCTGCAGGGGGCCAGGCCAGGTGCACCGAGGGGGCAGGTGAGGAGGGCAGGGGGGACACAGGCAGAAAGGGTGGTTCCAGCAGCGTCCACTGGTCAGTGTGGGTGGAGGGCGGATCCAAAGAGCAGGTGAAGGAGGATGAGAGAGCCGCCGGGCAGGGTGCCAGCCTCAGAGAGGGCTCCCAGGTGGACCTGACCCGGGCTGCCCACCCACTGCCCAGAGCACAGCACCAGGCAGAGCGGCCAGTCGCCCCCTTGGTCCCATGGCCGATGGCCTGATTAGTCAAGGGCTCCCGCCCGTGTTCCCGGCGAAGAGGCTCTCAGCCGCGGGGGCCGTCGGAGCCGGTGACGAGCAGGGCGGGTGAGGGCCGGTGCGCGGCCAGATGGGCAGGGGCCGGGCGTGGCCCTGTGCACGTGAGGAGGTGGCAGACCAGTGCCCTGGCATCAATTGACAGGCCAGGGCCAGGCTGTCCGCAAGCGGCAGGCGGTGGAGACCTGGGTGCATGTGGGGAGTCTGGTCCCCGCTCAGACAGCCCTGCCCGGGCCGTGCCTGGCCACGTGGTAAACCCCCCGTGCCTGTGTGCACCGGGAGGGTCCGCATCCGTCACCAGCTGTTGGGGAGCGGAGCCCACGCCCCACAGCTCTCTCTGCCCCCACCGCTGGGGCCTGGTATGGGCCTCACAGCCGCGCTGAAGGTGGCTTCAGGCCCCTGAGCCCCGGTGCCACAGGCGCGTGATGGGTTCCAGGGGGAGGTGGGAAGGGCGGGGTGGGGTTCTCCCTGGGATGCGGCCCGTGCCCCCCCTGCCCCACCTCCAGGAAGTGCCCTGATTGCGCGTCTGCCCCTCCGCGGCTGACTCGACCCTGCGGGACCAGATGAGGCAGCCACGCCGCGGGGCCGCGGTTCAACCTGGGGAACTGCCGTCCCTGCCACATCGGGTCCCGTGACTCAGCCCACAGGGAGGGCGGGACTCGAATCGGGCTGACCACTCTGAGCCTGGCTCGCCTGGAGGCTCCCGGCCCAGCCCAGGCAGGGGCCTGGCATCGACAGTGGCAGGGTGTTCCGTGGGCCAGCCTCGCTTGTTAGCGGGGACAGAGCAGGGTCTAATGTGGGAAGAACCTGGTGGGTCCGTGGTAACCGCTGCGT